ATAATAAATAAATATTGTATATATATATATATATATATATATATATATATATAGACTGACTTGGATGTTAGTGCAAAAGACAAGCCAAGAAAACCTGGAGGGAAAACTACATATACATCATGATTTTAAAAAACATTACTCGTCTAAAAATCAAGCTCTTGAGTTCTATATCTTATGCCCTGAACACTTACATCCTTATTAAAGCTTCCTGATAAATATGCAACCACGATTTCTTATTCTGTTGGGACATACAAATTAGCGATCGCAAACATTTCTTGATTAAGTGTCAAATATTAATAAGATGAGCCATTATCGATCCTAACTTAATCTAATGTTATTAAAGAGGCAAAAAATGAGCTACAAATCTGTGAAATATTTATATTTACAAGATTTGAGTCACAAATCTTGTTTGATGTGCGTGATGTCGTGGCAATTTTCCATTTCAATTAAAGGTATGAGACAAAAGTCTTTTGAATATTTATTTTCCTGCAGGTAAATGTCTGCATTCATACAGTCATTCAGGGTTGGCTGTAGATTGCAAAAAAAAGAAGAAACACCCAAACTCAACATTTATACCTTCATCAAATGCAGATGCTTTGATCTCATCCAATCATAATGCATATTCAACATATATGTCCATTTAAGGTGATTCTAAGAAACTAAAATAACACCTCTGTCTCACACCTGTCTTGCACACACACACAAATAGATTTCCTGTTATCTCTCAGCTCTTCGAAAACTCAAGCATACTGAAGCACTCAGAGACAGTCTAAAGAACACGCTTTAGTACAGTGAAGCAAATAATATTAATATTTCAGATAGAAATAAAATTTCCTCCGCACGTGACGAGAGCTGACATCATACGATTTCAACAAAATTAATTCCTCCAACCTCTGGCAAGATGTTGAACCACGCAGGGTCCACTTATAACAAAACTTCTCAAGGGAATGAATATTTCCATAGCTTGCTAAAGAGGTTATTGTGATTTGATAGCCTGTGGAAATTACTAATTTCCAATGCTAATGGCAAATGCTACAGGAACAAGCGGCGCGACCAGGGAATTTAACATACTAGAATTCTCTGCACAAAATGCTATAAAATCACTGGATTTCGTACAAGTTCATGATATGATGTACATGAGTTTGTATACTAGATTGCGTTTGATCAATTTTGATTCATTCGAAAGTGAAAATGTTTGTATGTCTTCAAGGACAGATGTTTCTTTAATTGCAGTGAGAGAAAAATTTCAAACTATTCATTCGCATAAGGAAGGAACTGTAAGAGGAAAAAACGGATAACAAAGAGCCTATGATTAATGAGAACATTTCATTTCAACAGTGACCCAAAAAGACCATTAAGATTTCCATTCAAGCATTTAACATTAATTATAACAAGCTTTCCATAAGCCTCCATGAAATTCAACGAGCAAAGCAAAGTTGTGCTGGAAATCTATTCAATGAATGCTGAGTCAACTGTAATTTCAGCCAGATACTTGTTGTTTCTTTTCATTCCACTTCAAGCATTTGAAATTTTACTCAAGGGATGTCACAAGATTATGACAACGTTAACTGAGTACTTGCTAGTCTCGTGTAGCCAGACCTTCAGACTGACGGCAGAAGGTCTGGGAACCTTGCCCGCTTTGAATGGCCAAGGCCCGCCCAAGAGGCCATATGACTGACAGGTAAAGCAACCAATCAAATCTATAATGAAACTATAATGATGGAAATACTTTGAATGCAATGTAATATAAAACCCCTTAGCTGGTTTCATAATACTACTCAGAGTCATTTTGGCTTCAACTGACAAAGAAAGGCTGACTGATCCAATATATGCCATGTTCGGTTGGAAGACTTCTGTATTGACAAGTAACGCCCATTATTCCTTAAAAGCTGAGTAGCAGCACTCTGATAGATTAGTGGAGCTTTTTTAATCAGGGTTTGTGTGGGGTAACGGCACAATCCCTGATAGCTCTAATTGAAATGTCCAGGCTTTACTCTACCTCTGCACTCCTCATAGAGGCCACATACTAATCAAAAACAGAAGGATTAGAGTCTCAACATGTGCTGTTCAATCACTCTGTCCACCATCTGCTAGATGAAGAACAACACTCAACACTGATCTTCTACCCCACTAGCAACAGTCATTTCACAAAAAAATCTAATCAAATGAGTTTAGTGTACTATGGAAAATACTGTAATGTAACTAATTTTTGATCTTGATCATTTTTTGAGAAATGACAATCAAATTGCTGAATCAGAGTTTTGAACTGATTCAAACAGTTTCTATTTCACAGAAATTAATTAAATGCTGTTTTTTGCTACTTATGTTACGTTACTCAATATCACACAAATCCCAGAATGCAATGCAGGCTTTGCAAAGACATCATTATTCAAGGATTAGCCAAGCCAACTATACGAAACCTGCCAGAAACACAATCATTAAATGTTGTTAAAGGGCATTTACATAGAAGTCTTGAAGGCACAGTGACAAAAAAAATCCTGTTTAACTGTTCAGGGTCAGAGAGAATATGGAAAATGGTCTTGTAAAATTTGATTCTGACTGTTTTTGGTGAAAGAAGTCTTGACTATGAAGAAGTGGCACTCTGAGGAAAAAAAAGTTTTTGTTTTTTGTTTTGTAAATCCCAACAAGAATGTACTGAATGTGGTTAACATCTACTTTAACCAAATCTTGGAGGGAGTTAGTGTACAACAGTGCAATTAATTAAACAATTACTGATATTATGTACAAGGATATTTTTATATGTATTTCTGTGCTGGCATATCTCATATTTCAGGTTTCAAGCCATTTGTGACCTCTGCCAGTGAAGTCGCTATAATCACAATAATAAGTTGAAGATGTCGAAGTCATCAAGACTCAATATTAAAGTTTTTTGTCACATACACAGTTACACAGAACACAGCTTGCAGTGAAATGTAAACCTGGTCAACTCCACAGACAGATTTCTACTTCTCTGTGATTGCAGCAGGGATGAGTTTGACAGGTTCATTAATGCTTCAAGAGAAAGGGTATGTATGTTCCAGCCATATGGCATTTTGAAAGAGATTCCAAAGTAACAAAGCACTGGCTAAAACACGACTTATTATTAGCTTCAGAACAGTGGGGCTCCAGAAACATGAAAAGAAACAGCCATTAACGTCACAGAACTCAAACCCTAAACATACCATTTTGGACACTGTACAAGACATAAATATAGGTCAGAAAATGCAGTTTCTTCCAGGATTCCTAGTATTAAAGTGCTCAAGGCTTTGAACAATCACTTAATTGTATTTGAAACATCAAAAGTTTTTCAATAGAATTTTGTTTGACATGTTGGTTAAATAGAGACGGCAATATTGGACAGCCAACTTATGAAGGCTGCATTCTTCAGACGTGACAAGCCATGAATAGCCGCATGTATATGTTCACTGCACCAAGTCCTAATCTAAACCTCTGGGTCATTCATACTTCACAGAATCACTCACTGGACACAATGCTGAACTTCTCTGCAACAGCTTTTGTGAATGAGCACAATGTCTGACAGAATCTTCTCACGTCATTGCAGCAGATGTTTAATGAACAGTGATGGGGCCACATTAGAACATATATGAAGACTATTTTGTTCAGTACTTGCGGAATAAACAAGCAGAATTTATGCTCATGGAAAAGTTAAGAGGGTCTGACATGATCTCCAAAGCTTCTTACTAGCCACTGCCAACTCAATTTTTATGCATGAATTTATTTATTCACACATGTAAAATCCAAAAACTCACAGGAAATTTGTGTGACGCAACCCACTCTACATTTTATAATCCACGTTTTATTCTTTTTCACAACCCAAATCACTGCAGCTTCACAGCACTCCCTGCAGATGTAGAGATTTCCGAATTAGTTTTCTTGAATGAGTCGTCTTGTGTTCTTATTAAGGAAAACACATTTCAATAAACACAAAATCACATTCCCTCCAAGTAATTGGAATGAAAAGCACAATGACAAATGGAGAAGTAATTTTGGCCCTAAAGGCTACATCAAAATATTGGCAACACACTAACATTTCATCTTACCACTTGAGAAAATGTGAGTCCTCTTGTCCTTTTGATCAAATTAGCAAAGAGCTAATTTTGCAACTAGGCTAAAATCAGCACCACTTTCTGTCATCATCGATATCTAATGTGTCTCATTTGCATAATAACATATCATGCTGAGACTCAGCAGGACTGTATCACACTTTGGATAGAAGAAGTTGCATTTGATTTCTTGATAAATGGTGTCTTCAGATTAAAGATCATGTTATTTTTTCATTAAGAGCAAGGACTGAGGCGTAATCTCTCAAGGTTTTTCAGAACACCTTATTGACGTAGACTTCTTTCAGCGCTGTTCCACTTGTTTGTATGTCAAGATTTTTGTATGGGTATACATTTCTTTTTGCATAATCTTTTGTACATGTATAGTCTTTGTACTTTGTATATTTTGGAGTATATTAGGTTTTAAACATTGTTTCGTATATTTCTGCCATTCAATCTTCAGTTTAACTGATTAGTTTTAACCAAATTATTATTTGGTTTTTTATAATTGTTAATAATTATTATTTATTATTATTTATTTATTTTTAATATATAATTCTATTTCATTTATCATGTGTTGTTTTTTGTTTTTTTCTGTTGCAAAGCTGATTGTTTGTCTGTGTTATTCTGTATATTAAACAATGTCAAAACAATAAAAATTTGATTAAAAAAAAGAACCACTTTAACCAAATTGCCATTATTGCCAAGCAGATTCAAAACGTTTAAGAACTAAAACAGAAATATAAAATCTAGTTTACAAATTGTTTTCCACAGCATTTTTTACTGAAAATAAGTAACAGCAGTTGTAAAATGGTAAAAAAGCATGAAGCTTTAAATAGTCTGATAACCCCTCTCCTTCCTCTCTATACAAGGAAAACAGTGAGTGAATTTAGTGCCCAACATTCCATTTTTATACATTTTTTTTTTGTTAAATTAGCACATCATCTGGTTAAAAGTGCAATTCATGTTGGAAATTTCAGTGAGCACAACTCATACTGTGTATAAAATGGCATAGAATAGTTCATAAGTATGTGACTGCTATAAGTTAAGGTATTTTTCCACAAAATTAAGATTACAAATGCAAATTAACTGAAGTCTAATGACACCATACAGAAACTTAATGGCCAAATAAAAATCCCCTTGACATTCATTATGTTGTTTAATTTCATATGGTCAGCGAAATCATTTCAAATATATCATCCAGCCATAGACTTTCATTTCTCTGGATTACAACTATTGTAAAGTCAGTTTTTATTGTAAGGATGTCTGCTCCTCATGCTCTGCTGTGTCAACCACTGATTAAACTTCATGAGTTGAATTCTTCTTGAGCAATGATCCTGAAGTCTATTGCAAAAGGAAGTCTCTCTGTTAAATCACTGTACTCCATTCTCTCTGTGTGAAGCTGGACCACAGCTGTGGCACCAAATTTCAATTTAATGACATACAATTCCTGCCTTGGCTGAGAGAGAGTTTGAAAAGTGACAGGGGGTTCAATGGACAGTTCAGGCCTGGAGGGATGTTGGCTTGAGCACTGCAGGGGAGTCTGTAGCTTCCTGGCAACTTGATGACATCTTCTCTCTCCCTCCCTCTGTCCCAAAGAAGAAAAAAAAAACACTCTTAACCGCTGACAACCTCCATTAAACACATCGAGTCTAATTCTACGCTAGTGGAAGCTGCTTGTGCAGACAGTGGGGGCTACTTGGACAAGTATGTATATTTGCGTAGGATACATAGGCCTAACATTGAAGAGGGACATGTCACGGTCAAACGTGGAGTATGTGATTCTGGTACGAGCACTTGAAAATCACTCTGAAAAGAATGCTTGCCGCTTTTTCGATTTTCATTTGCCCTCAAAGTCACCACTTCCACTTAAAAAAAAAAGGCAAAACAAAAAGAAAAGATACCCTTGAACACAACATCATGTACTAGACCAATCTATATTAAAGGGATAATGCAGCTACAAATGAAACTTCTGTCATGTCTTACCCTCATAACTGATTTTCTTCTTTTTGTTTTTGTACATTTTTTTCATACAATTATAATAAATGGTCACTGAAGATGTGAGCCTAAAAAACATAACATTAATGGACCACCTTTATAATATGTTCATATTCTGAGCAATATATTCAAAGTCTGAAGTCATACAATAGCTTTGTGTAATGAACAAACTCAAATTTAAGTTATTAAACAGAAAATCATCAACTTTAGAGAAATGTTAAAGCTGCAATGTATCGGAAGCCCCAGATCTTTTCTTCTGTTTTGTGACACACATTCGAGCGAAACAGATTATCAAAAAAAGGGGGGGATATGTATGGCAGGGATGAAGGCAGATGTGAATGTTAGCTTGCAATCATTTTTAAGAAAGAGGTGAAGTTAAAGTGGATGAAATGATTGAAGAAGTCATATGTTACCGGAGAGAATTCTGTCGTTTCACTGGAAGATCAAGTTATGATTTTTTATTAAAAATGTAAAAATAATAATAATCTAATAAGCAATATGATGCATTAAGAAAACAGATTTCCATTTCATGGCTAATTTGGCTGAAATTAGGATCATCAAAAGTCAAATGGGACACCCTACGGTAGTGTTGTAATCAAGACCACCTAAAATGAGAACAAGACAAGACCAAATTCTCAAATTCATCTGAAAGATCCACATTTACAGCCTGAAAAATCTCTAATATTTAATCAATAAATACAATTAGAATAATAAGACTATATAGAGCTGTTACCAATCAAATGAAATCACTAACAACATAATTAATCTTTGCACTGCAGAGGCTGCATCTGAATTGGTACAATTCATAATAATTAATCATTTATAATTAAAATTGTGTCTAAATGCAGTTCACTTAATATTAATTTCTTCTTTATTGAACATTTGTATAACCCCTTAGCATTCCTGTGAAATTTGCCTAAACGCCTAAAAAAGGCATACCCAAAGTAAATTACATGCTGTTCTTGAACCATTTGGAGTATATGCATGGTTTTGGTCTCTTTCGAAAGGGGACACTCTGAGGTTTGTTCCTAAACAGAACAAGAATCCCTGTAAGTCTTACTGGTATTGAGTAACAGAACTTTGTTTGAACACACTGAAAAAGGATAAAAACATTCCGCCTATTTTATTTTTTTTGTAAACAGATGCCTGCAGATGACTATAGCTGAGAGCTATTAGCTGGAAAACACAATGGGATCACAGCATGAAGCACTGACAAAGACACTGATTGTACCTGCTGTGTTGATTGTATCTTTAAAAAGTTTGCATCATTTGAATCACAAGAATCTCAGCTTTCCAAAGATATGTGACATGTTTAGCTTTTTTTTCTAAGTCATGAAGTTAACCCTCAAAAACACGCAGTGTACCACGGGTGGTACAGTGTAAAGCTAACAGGATAAAATCAATATCACGGTTTGCAATCGTGCTCATATTTGTGAAAACAGCTCTCTTGCTCTTGTGATATTGCTTATGCTCAGTAAGTTTTACATCATCACATTAATGATGTTAACAAATAAATCAGACAATGCACTGGCAAGTTAGTGATATCCCCACAGTTGTGGTCTTGACTGGTCTTGAAATAAAATACAGAGTCCTTTTAGTCCTTTAGCCAAGACAAGACCGAGTACAAATTAGGTTGAGACTAAGACAAGAGCTTCAAAAAAATGATCTTAAGACCGGTCTTGAGTACTACACCACTACCCTACGGGTCTCATGGACTTAACTGACATGCTCACTTGGCGGCCATTGTAAGTCTACAAGACCACAAGTACATATGAAGGCCCTGTCCCAAACGACAAACTGAATTTGCTCTTGCGGACTAACAATGACCACCACATGTGGTGGAATTCATGATTTTCAATGAGTAACGACTTAATATTCGGTCTGTTCCTCACACATTATCGTTATCATAAGACTTCAGAAGACTTAACACATGAGACATACAGACTACTTTTAGAATTATTTTTAATATATATTTTTGACATTCACCCCCATTCATTCTTTGCCTGGAAAAAGTCAGCCATATGACGTTCCTACTTTTCTCCATGTGTGGGTTCTGAAAGACGAGGGTAAGTAAATGATGACAGAATTTAAAATTTTTAGTGATCTATCCCTCTTATATAAAATGATTATTATAATTTCTTCATCAAACCATGCATCAACAGCAAAACACACATTACTCTAACAAGCAAGCGAGACAACTGACGCGTCCTCCTGACAGGGCATATGTTAAGCACGGGCTCGTTGCCTCGGCAGATTAGCCCGTCTTAACTCAGCTATGCAAAACACAGTATATCTCTGCAACCAACTTAAACCAGTTGATCAGAAACTAAAAGATGGGAGCTGCTCTCCAAACTCACTCATTACATTGTTGCGCAGTCACGCAGATGTGAAACAAGTACACGCGTTTGGAAGGACCGCGTCCTCTCACCGGTGCGCTTTTCACAAAACTTTCAAACGCGAATATAAAGTCAATCCACCAGTCCTCCGTCTAAAATGCTGAAAATACGTCAAAAGCCAAACATAATTACGCCCATCGTAACAGTTTGAAACCGCATAATGCCACAGAGTTTGACTTGTCTTCATTGATTGCGAGCGCGTCCAACACGAGATGCGTACAACAATCTCCACTCAAAGCCAATTAAAAAAAACACTTTCCGGATAAAATTTTAATCTCCTGAAAATACATCCTATAATATAATCAATTTAATTAAAAAAAAATATATATATAATATAAAAATAAATATATAAAATCATTAACCAGCTCAGTCAAGTGAAACTGCTTGTCATCGCCAATGTCAATGAAACACTTTACGTCATATGAAGAATTAAAAAATATATATAAAAAACTAATAATAACAATAATTGTGATTACCACAAATTATTCAATGCAAATGCACTTAATCTACACGGGATTCTTCATGGCGTCTGAAGCGAATCGAGTGCGCGTGAGGTCTGCGTGATTGTTTTCCTTCTTGCAAATACCAATTTGAAAATCCGGAGGAATAAGTGGAAGTGTAGTCCCAGGCTCTAAGTAACCGTGAAGTAGGCACTTACTCACGCACTCACCTACGCAGGCGCTGAGAAGTCCCTCCTTCAGTAAGGTATTGTTTATGGGGCTGTTTGGATAGGCTTCCACAGGATTACAAGAACCCGCTGTTTTCATTTGCTCAAGAAATGTGACTGTGCATTTGAATTGCAATGCTTGGGTTAGTTTCCAAATCTTGTATTTGCTGCATATCCCTAGGTAGTTTGTCTTATTGCTTAATCATTTAATAATACTGTTGTCGAGTTATTATTTAGCACTGGTTTTAATTTTCCTGCATGCCCTCTTGAAATTAATTTACCCTACTGTCTCGAAATTGGTTCGTCAGGCTATTAGTGAAACATTTTGTTTCAATGTCTGTAACACCGTGTCTCCAACTTTAATATAATATTACCATATACGTCTGCTACAAATTAGAGTAGCTTACATTAAATTTTAAATTAAAGCTACTCAAATTTGTAGCAGAAATTAAAGTGTGTGTGTATATACTGTATATAAAGTTTATATA